TGACAGCAAGGAGGATGTCACCACATCTGAAAAAGAAATGCAAATGTAAGAGAGCAATTAAACAAGTTGACTCCTTAACTTAAATATTTGCAAATGCCAAAATATATCCTCAAGCTGGGAGGAAGGGGTAGAAATGAGTATTACAGTTCCTTCTCTGGCTAACTACTGTTCATGAATAACAGAATAAAGCAGGTGAAAATAATATTAATATACTAAATATTAATATAATGTCTCATAATTAATTGGACATATTTGAAATAAAGTAGGATATATAGTTCCTTCAGATGGGAATCATCATCATGGAACCGTAGAGGGCTTGGGTTGGAAGGGACCTTAAAGATCATCTAGTTCCAACTCCCCTGCCATGGGTAGGGGCACCTTCCACTAGACCAGGTTGCTAAAGCCCCAGCCAACCTGTCCTTGAATAGTAGGGATGGGGTATCCACAACTTCTCTGGGCAGCCTGTGCCTCACCACCCTTACATTAGCTAATTTCTTTCTAATATCCAATCTACACCTACTCTCAGTTTAAAGTCATTCCCCCTTCTCCTATCACTACATGCCCTTGTAAAATGTTCCTCTCCAGCTTTCTTTAGGTACCAGAATGAACCATGTTCTGAATCAACATGTTTTAAGGCTTGTTAGTTGATTTAAGTTTATTCCATAATTCTGCATTTACTTTCTTAAATTCTATTGGTGCTTGCAGGGAAGGCTTTTGGTTAGGTTTCTTTGAGCTGGGTATGTGGGAAAGCTGCTCTGTGCTGACAGGCTTTGTACTAACCCAGAGATCAAATTGACTTATCTTTATACATATTCATATATTAGTGATTGCTAGACATCTGAAAACATTCTACTATGAAGGCAGACCTGTTAAAGATCAGGATACTTATATCTTGTCTCCAGATCTGTCAGAGGTACTTCTATGTCTGTAGTTCTGTATGAGTTCTTTTCCCCTCTTCCCTACTGTCTTAAAACATTTTTGTTAAAAAAATGACCCACAAATTAGCTAGAAGAAAAGCTTACTTAGATGCTACTTTTCATTAGATAGTTATCATTACCTAATTCTGCCGTCATTATATGCTGGTGTTCCCCCAACAATGGATTTGATAAAGAATGGTTTGTTCCCAGTCTGTTCTTCATAACCTCCTACGATGCTGAAGCCAAGACTTCCAGATGTATTTCTTCGTAATACAATTTCTTTGCAGCTGTACAAATACCTGAAACAAACCAGTCTAATGAAATGTCTTACAGTTAACTTTTGATTTTGATGAGCCATTAATGATGAAGCTGCCTTTTCATGTGCACATAGAGTGGAGATGAAAAACAGCATGATAGTTCCACTGTTTTAAACACCTACACTTACATTTTAGTAGTGGCACTTTCCACAACCAGTTATCCCAAAAGTAAAATTACTAGATAATCTTGGTGTTAAAATATTAAACAAGTTGTTTTATAAGATAAAAATGTATGCAAATGATCTAGTTGGTGTGATGAAGGAAAGCACTTAAGACTGGATTTAGTGTTCATAAACCAGCAATCCAGAAAACTGTATTTCACCTAGCTTGTACAGGGCTTGTTTATCTTCCAGATCTGAGGCTATATGTGATTGACTACATCAGAGTGGTCAGGCACTTACTGCTATGGTGCATGGCAAAGCTAAATCATTTTAAGGCCAATGCAGTGAATTACAAAAATGACAGAGATGACATAAAAACAAGTATTGGTGGGAGAAGGGATCCTGAGCTTTTCTTGTTAATTTATGCATGGAAGATGAGAGAAATTTGGATCCATGTCAGTCAGTGCTTTGGAATATTGAGGCTGCTCTCAAGAAGATAGCTTGTCCTCACTATAATTAACACAAAATTTTGTGGTAAGAGAACTGAAATCCAATCCATTCATTTGTCTTTTGAATGTATATTGTGATACTTCAAGTTATGCTGAGTCAAAGCTTAGCTGAAACTAGGAACAGGGGAAAGCAAGAACAGTGTTAGACTCTTACGTGTTTCCCATTGCTCTGAGTACATTAATTTCAATACTCATTCTGTTACCTTTTTTTGACCAAGTTAAATTCATTAGTCACAGAGTGAGTTATAGAACTTACAGTCCATAGTACTTAACCCACTCCTCATTAGCAGTATATCCAAAAATGATTTAGGAGCCTGAAAATCCATTTGCTACTCCACATCTGAAAATATAAGCTGACCTACAGCAAGCAACTGTTACAAGATCTAGTCAGAGACTTTTTAGGTTTCTAAGAAGTAGCTGACACTTCTGTAGAAGGATAAGACAAAGGTCTTTGTCTTAAAGACCAATATGTCTAGCATTCTAGAAATTGTTTGTCAAAGACAGAGTGCATTTGCTGTCTTTCACAGCAGGATTTTATAGTAATACTAGATTAGTCCCCCAGGACCTACAAATATTCACCTGCTGCCAGGATGGTAGGTATGTAATATTTGCACAAGAATTCACTGGCTGCTAATGTAATAAACAGGTGACATTTGCTTCTTTCCTCAGCAGCCAGACATTACTTTACCATCTGTGACCTTCTTCAATGTGCAAAATCACTTAAACCCTCTGTGTTTGATGGCACTTATCAAGGTCACGACTGAGCAATGCCAGGATTCAGCCATTAGTGCTATAACTTATTGTTGATTTTTTGAGGGAGGGGTCTCTGGTGCCAGTGCTACCCTCACAGCCTTAGGGAGGACATTGCTGAAATTGAAAGGTGATCAACTAAATCCTAGAAAAGGAGTAGACAAGCAGGTAAAGGCAGGAGGAGAAAATGCAGTGAAATAAAACAAGGCTTATGTGCATTCTGTACATGCAGTCTATGAGGTTATCAGTTGCATGGTCCTCAGAGTTTGTGAAAAGGGGAGGAAAGGGATTTTCCCACAGTGCTTACATCTTTGCTTTTCAATATCCAAATTGGTAATTAAATGCTTGAAGTGCCCCAAGCCAAGTCTGTTCTGCCCACAATAGTAATGGGCAAATGGTCTCCCTTGTCTTTCCTTTGACCCATGTGTTTTCTTGCTCTCTTCTTTTCTCTCATCCTGCTGTGGGTGTTATTATTGCAGGCAGGTCCAACCCATCATGCTGGCCATAGCTACAGACTGACTCTTGACAGGAGTGGCTAGGAAGTGTTTATGTCCTTAACTTGATGTTTTCTTATTTCTATCCTATGGGATAGAGGTATAAATATGGCAGTGCCTCATCCATCAGCTGTTTGTGAGCACTGTCAGAAATGTGAAAAGGCTCCTGGCAGGCAGAGTGTGCAAAGCTGAGCTGCTTGTAACACGGGGGCTGCTTGCTCTGAACTGCCTACTCTGCCTGAGCAAGGAGCAGCCCAAAGGGAGTCAGTTCATTTAGGTCAGTTTAATTATAAAGACAAGCTAGAAGGTGCCACAGCGAGAAAAGGAAATAAGCACTTCTGTCATCCGAAGATGCTTCGTGTGTCTGAGTGGATTATTTCTGTGTGGTAATGAGAACCCCAGTCTTTGTGTTTTGAGCCAGCTGAACTGCCATAACCCACTAAACTGCAACTGGTCCAAGAAGAACCACCTTCTGCCTTGAAAGAAACCAGCTTGCAAGATTTGGGGATATACAGTGTCTAGCCACAGGGTCCTATCCTAAGAAATACTACAGCTGAGCATCAGTTACTGATGCACGAGGAATTCACAAGTCCCTGGTTTTGAGCAGTTAAACGTACAATTCCCTGCTGCTTTTCATGAAGCACAAGTAGACTTACACTGTGGGGATGAAAACCAGCCCAGCTGCAGGAGAACTTCAGCAATAACAGGTATGAAAACCCCTGCCCCATTGCACTACACAAGTGGCAGAGGAGTATAGTAATATTTGAGATTATCAGAACGCTGGAGCCTGGATTGAGTTAAATTTGAGGGAGTTTCTGCCCTAATTCCATGTTTTATGGCTTGTTCTACCCCTGGTTTATGGAATTACTTTGGCCACCTCCTGTCTTTCTCAACTCACTTTGCAGATGAAGAAAAGCACTCGTGTGAAGTACTAATATTTGTAAATGTTATGACAGCATGATCTATAAAGTATTTTTAAGTGCTAGCTGAGGGAAAGAAATGTGAGGAGAGCAAAGAAAGGAGAGCAGGAAACCAAGCAAGAGTAGAAGAAGCATCACAGAGCTGGGGAAATGCTTTTCACCAGCTGTTCCCCATTATTTCCTTTGTGCATGCTTCAACAACAACATGTCTCTCCAACAATAAAAGAGACCTATCTTCCTCAACAGCAAACAATTAAATTAGCTACCCTGAAACAAGTCTTTGGGCAAGAATGCTTAAGGTCCTGCATCACTGTTTCCTCCCAATGCCCAGCCCACAGCCTCACCACTCACATGCAGGCCAAGTTTTGACAGAAGTCAGATGCACATGTGTGTCTATTTTATAACCACCACATTGGATTGCGCTACAGAAAGAACAGAGGATCTGTTTATGTATTATTAAGCCATACAAAAGTGACAAAAGCCAATTGTAAGATCTCACAGGGAAAGGACTGAAATGTAAGTGAGATCCATAAATGTTAAATTATGCAAGATGGCTTTTCCAAGTCTTTAAACTGCAGTGCTAGGGGCTGGAAAACTTGTCTGACTGTGCTGCTACCAACTTGATCCAGAAAAATGGTATAATTCCCTAACTCTCAATATTTGTGTCTCTTGTCTGTGCCCATCTCTAATATGCATGCAGGC